AGGGCCAAAACAAAAATTCCATCGAACTAGAATTAAAAACGTATCTTCATCATATTCACTTTAGTATCTTACACTTTATATATATTTCGATTCTTTTGTATGATTCTTTGAGATGTCAAAGGGACATCAACAACTAATAGCACAGAAAAGTAAACACAAGTAAAGTTATAATCCCATGTTCAAGTGTACAGGATAAAACAACAAAATAATTCAGCCCCTTCTAGTTCTTATCAGTTTGGCAGGTGTATAAATAATGTGTAGTTGACTATATGTATCATCATATGGTGTTAATCTACACAAAATCTACACAACGTTTCACAATTTTTATCTAGTACCTATCTGAATCAAACAGGTGGTTATATACGCATACGTTGGATTGGCACATAGCTCGCTTTGATAGCCCGTAGCTGACACACTGTAGTTACGTTTGCAGTTCTAACATTAGAGTCCAGCTAGTCATGGTTTACTGAAAACTACTGAATTATAACATGTCCGCAAGTGTGCACAACAATCGCCTTATTATTTAATAACTGACATACAAATTTCAGTCACAAAAAGTCATAAGACGTAGAAATATTCCTTCATTCATTTCATTGACTTAAGTAGTGTGCTGAAAAATGTTCGGAAATCCTTACTTAATCCAGTCACCAAAAATGCGTGTTCGAATAGTCAAGGTCAAACCTTGCGAGTTGCCCTCCCGTGAGTTGCCCCCCTCCCCCTTTCCTCTTTAATCACCCAGTACGGCCGGACCCACACGACGCTCTGACCCGAACGCCCAGCGTGGGAAAAGTCAACATTCTCGACAAGTCGGACAAATAGGAAAGACAAACGAGGTCGTGTCGGCCCGGCTGATGCGGAGTTTACTCCGAACCACAACCCGACATGTAAGGGGCGACAAACACACGCTGACCTCTGACCTGGAATCCATCATGGCCCCCGGAGACAGGTTTCTTCAAACAGCCGTTTTACTGTTATGGCTGTTTTTAGTCCACCTTTGTTTAGTTCTTTACAGTCCCTGGTCTTTTGTGATGGCAAAAACATATGTATGTGTGTAATTGTCAAACTGCTTGTGGCATACCATTGCACTAAAGTTAATGTCCACAGTTGGTGGGAACATTGGCACTATTTAGTTATTTCCCATTAACGGTATTGACACCTTTGATCCTTTGATATAAAACGTTTTACTATTATGGCTATTTTAGTCCATCTTTGTTTCGTTATTTATGGCCCCTGTTCTTTTGTGATGGCAAAAACATATGTATGTGTGTAATTGTCAAACCGTTTGTGGCATACCATTGCTCTAAAGTTGATATCCTCTGTTGGTAGGGGCACCAGTACGTCAGCAGTAGTAGTTAGCTATTTGCCATTAACAGTATTGGCAGCTTTGATATAAAACGTTTTACTATTATGGCTATTTTAGTCCATCTAGTGCTATCTTTGTTTCGTTCTTTATGGCCCATGTTCTTTTGTGATGGCAAAAACATACGTATGTGGCATACCATAGCACCAAAGTTGATGTACTCTGTCGGTAGGAGCACCAGTACTAGTTAGCTATTTGCAATTAACGAGATTACCACCTTTAATGTAAAACACCGTATACTCTACCATTCATTTCTTTCACGACGTCTGAATGCTGGCAATGTTATTTTCAACCTGTCCACTCTGTGATACATAATTTCTACGTTAGTTAGTTTCGCCAACTTCAAGTAACTATAGAATAGATACTAGTAGTTTTATTACAGCGTTTTAAGTATTTTACGAATTTATATCCGGATATTGGCATCAATTCTGAGGTAAATATATAAACATAAACACATAAAACATGACAATAAAGATTTTATGGATACATGGGACAACCAATTCCACATTTGTTGAGGGTATAATAGAAGTAGAAGAAAGCTTACATGACTTAAACCACCTGTTCGTTCTTACCCCAAATTCGATAATATATATAGGAACCAATAAAGTAAAACGATTTGGATGATATCAACCCTCTTCTTTCTTCAAGGAAAGTCTAATACCTAATTTAAAACTAGTTTGTTCTTTATGTATAGTACTGTATAGCGTTCTGTGTTGCTATCTACAATAGTAAACAAACCCTTAAATTTACCGGTAAGTGTTAAAAACATGGAGGTTTCGTTACCTAGAACATTTTCAAAATCCCACATTGAGCACATTTAATAAGCTCAAAGAACGGAGTTGGCAGGAAGACGTCGCCATTTTTTCTCCAAACATCTACTTAAAGAATAAACAAAGGTCCCTGCTATTGTTGGCATTTCGTGCCAAACAAATCACATTAATTTATGACCGATGTCTACATTTTTCAGTAGCCCCTGTCCCCTGTCGCCTGTAGTAAATTCTCTAGACCAGCCTACCTGTCCCATCTAGGACATCAGATCGTAAAATTTGTCAACTGTGCTGAATTCTCGATGTTTACATAGCCCCTATTGCAGGCGTTTACTGGAGCGAGGCCAGAGAAGCACATGCTTTGAGGGAAACAATGTCTAGAGTTAGATGTTCAAGGGTTAGGTGTAACAAGTCGTTCGGTGTAATATAGCCAGCTGTCGCCGCGCCGCGTGCCTGCGAAGCTGGTGTGTTACGCCGAAAGGCGGTTATATCAGCTCTATAGATACAGATTCAGATTATCACCATTATTATTTTATTATATCACTTATTGTTACCATTATCATCAAAGGCATCCTTGGTCTGTTTAGAGTGGTATTTTATTGGCCGGTTATTCCTTCAGCACAGGTTATGTACCAATCTGTGACCATCCTGTCAAGTGGCTTACTTTATAAGGTCAAGGATCAACAATAATCAATCAGGGTTATCTATGACATGTACTGATATTGATTATGGAGACAATAAGCAACCTGTGGTGACATAGTATTGAAAAATCAATTGTATTTATGTGATTAATTGATGTACTCTATAATGTGTAGTGTATCTATTTGATATGCGGTTGTTTGTAAATTTGCTAGTTGTATTGATTGATTTGTATACAGCATTTTGTGTTTGTAAATTATAGTAGCTTTTCTGCAAAGCAGTCTAAAACAAGTATAGGCACGAAGCCGGCTTTTTTGCTTTTTTTTTTATTATATTCCAACATTTCATGACTAGACATGGTGATGGCACACTCAAGTTATATCAACTTATTTTATGCCGCCACCTACGCAGAGGACAAATACAGGACAGGACAATACTCATTTTCACTTGAGGAAAGTGCCTTTCCCAAGGGCACAAGATCGGCGGCATGTCAGGACTCGAACCCGGGACCTCTTGGTTCCGAGTCGAGCGCTCTTTCCACGGAGCCTGTTTATAATACGGGAAGCCCGAGTGTGCGTGTCAGTACAGTGGCTCTGCGCGCGTCGTACACACGGCTGTAACTTGATCCGGACATGAGAACGCGCGCAGGACGTTAGGTCGGCATCAGGACGGGCCGTGCGCCGGCCTGACGGTCAAAACGCGCCGGGCTGGCGGGCACGGGCGACGGAGCAGGCTTGTTTACGGCGCGGCTACGGGCTCGACACGCGACGGACGGTTCTGGCTTGTAAGGCGTGACAACGGAAGTGTGGCGCAACGACAGAGTGCTCGACTCGGAACCAAGAGGTCCCGGGTTCGAGTCCTGACACCTCACCGATCTTGTGCCCTTGGGAAAGGCCCTTTACACTAATCTCCAAGCAGATCCCTTTCGGTGGTAAAAAGACAGTATCAAATTGGCCAGGCAGTATCCATTAGCCAGAGAAGGTCGGCAGCCATATATAAAAAGGTAACGATCATTCCCCCACAACCTCTGCTTGGAGAGTACAGGGACCTATGGTAGACGTTTTACGGCGCGACTACGGGCCCGACACACCACGGACGGTACAGGCCTGTAAGACGTAATAACGGAAGTACGACAGACCCCCGACACGCGACCGACACCTCACGTCCGGCCGGCGTCACCACGATAAGGACAGGATCATCCCAACACTTACCACTAATCCAAAAATTCTTCATTATCGATAACGATATCAAAACAGTAGTACCCCCGCCTACACTTTTAAAGTTAGTAAACTGATAATGTCCTGGTCCTATGCTATTGGTTCTATGCTAGAAAACAATATCATACAGAAGATGAGAACTATATTTGCATATCGTGATATTTTAACTTTTGATATTGGTATCCCCTCAATATTATAACTTTTGATATTGGTATCCCTCAATATTATATTTGAGGGTATTTGTTAGCCTAAATTTAACACATTGTGCATACTGCTCTTCAGTAATGTTCCTGATATAGGTTGACAGGGTGAAATAGACCTTGAAGTTGTTCTTCTGACGGTGCCGCCAGTTAGGACGTGATATTTGAACTTTTCCGTCGTCCAAAGTCCACCTTCACTATGTAGGTAAGAACTGATCATCTAAAATATCAACATTGGCTCTTATAAACACCCGGCCTGGTTATGTTCACATTCTATGAATATGAGAAAAGTTAGTTGAATGTAACATGGATGACATTACAACGTTCGATCTTTTGCACGACCCCCAAGGCCTCCAACAGGTGGTTGCGGATGATCATCACGAAAAACGCGGAGGAGGCTATGGGGTCGTTACCTTTCATCCCTGAACCCGTCAATCAGGTGGGGGCACTTATCACTGCCCTTGTTTACTTTTTTCAACATTTGTTTAGAGAATAGTCGGGACAAGCAATTGGGGGCGTGGTTTTCCCACACTATGCTGCCTGCCTCCACACGCCGCTGACAAAGGGGTTGGCACGTGCTTACCCGGGATAATTGACCCGCCACTTTGTAATAGCACGACTGCAGATGTCAGTTGTCAGCACCGATTGCGCATGGCTGGCTGGGTAGATCCGCCAGCCGACCAATCACGTCCCAGAGCTGGCAAGCCGCCGGTGACTTTGACCAATCAGGGAGAAGGTCACAGACGTGTTTGGAGGTGTGACGGCTGCAGTGATTGGAGGAGAGAGTGAAGGAATGCCTTGTGGGAAAAGCCTGTCAGCGGCGTTCACACGAGCCGAACTGAATACTAAATACAAACACTTCTAATCTGCATTCCCACACTCCAGCGGACGGTGCGACACTGTGCGACCGCCGGCCGGCCGTCCGACTTCCCCCGTCACCATTCCTCCACACGCCACCTTCCTCAACACACACACAGGAACATACCAACACACTCCCGCCATGGAAAAACAAAAGGACAACAGACCGAGCGAAGGACGCAAGGTGGGAACTACTTTAGCACTTTTTTTTTTACTTGTCAACATTAGAGTTAATGATAATGTCGGTCGGCAGGAGGAATATTTCCACAGGTAGGCTGCGTCGCGTCGCGTGTAGAACGTGTGCCGAGCAGAACTGAGGTATAAACGTAATGAGTTCTCCAGTATGGGCATGACTTTAACAGTGTTTTGTTCCATCCACAGTCCTCCAAGCCGATCATGGAAAAGCGACGACGTGCCCGCATCAACGACAGTCTAAACCAACTCAAGACGCTGATTTTGGACGCACTTAAGAAGGACGTAAGTAGTCTGTGTGTGCTCATCGATGTGTAGATACTATCGACGACCTTTTTGCTGATTTATAAACATATTATCGAACACATAACATGCCTTTTGACAGAGTTAACGTTAGCGTTAACGCTAACTTAGCTAGACTTAAGAGATCTACGTGTACCTGTACTTAATAAACGTCGGAGCGGAAGTTACGTTTCAACACAGGTCTGTTTACTACGTAAGCGAGGAAAAACATGTTGACATAATAACCAACACTTGTCTGTAACGATCTGACTAGGAAACAGTTTTAGTTTGCCATGAAGGTTAACAGGTGGTTGTACAGAAAAGTTACGTCCAGGTTGTGGTAAAATAGAGTACCGTATGGACTAAATGTTCTATTTCCTGTTGCCTACTCAGAGCTCGCGCCATTCCAAGTTGGAGAAGGCCGACATATTGGAAATGACCGTCAAACATCTCCGAAACTTGCAGAGACAACATGTAGCTGGTAAGTCATATTTCATGTGTTTTATGTCAGAAATAAGTTATACTACAAGCAGAAACCCCATCGGGAGAAGAGTGTATTGGTAAACAAACATTACGACGACTGCCCGACATGTACTGTAGATTTTTGTCTCAAAGGCAACTTGTTCATTATTTTCAAAGGCTCTGAGAAGTTGTCTAGTAGACAAATTGGCGCCTGTGAAAGCTGTAATGTGTCCCAAGTCTCCATGGATACCGACTGTCTAACACATATTATCTGTTACCGTCATTACTGGCATCTGTGTGGTGTACCTGTAATTGTTGTCACCATTGTACGCTCTCCGCTTATCGAATTGCTGACTGCTGTTTGTCCAGGTCAAGACAAAATGACATTTGATAAACGTCAACAGAAGAACAAATATAAAAACTGCAGTTTGGTATTTGAGATTGTTTGTTGGTACTGATTGACTGTTTTGACGTAATGTGGAGGCCGCGCTAGAAAACAATATTATTATACAGAAGATGAGGACTAAATTAGCATATCGTGATCTTTTCATTTTGTGCCAACGTATCCCCTCAATGTTACATTTGAGGGTATTTTGTAGTCTATATTTGTTATAGAAATACTGCAGTTTGGTAGTTGAAATTGTTGATACTTATTGTTGTTTTTGTTTGTGTGTTTTTACAGCGGCGGTGAGCACGGACCCCAATGTTCTAGGGCAGTACCGAGCGGGGTTTAACGAGTGTATGACCGAGGTGAGCAGTTTCCTCGGCTCGGCCAGTACCGTGGAGACTGAGGTCCACCAAAGACTGCTGAACCACCTAGCGGGCTGTTGTCACAACGTCAGCCCGGTTACCTCCACCTACACCAGCCCCACGGTCCTCCCCACCGCAGCGGCAGCGGCGTCCGGCCCGGCCATGGCGCACGGCCGCCCCGTCCAAGTCCAGGTCCCCGCCGCAGCGTCCGCCACCGCCCTTCCCGTGGCGGCTAGCACCGTGAACTTCCCGCGGCCGAACCTCCAGCTCTCCCCTCCCGAAGCCTCCTGCTCCCAGCCGCTCCAGGCGAAAGTGTACGGCGGGATCCCGCTGGTGTCCGGGCAGATCGGCGGCGGGGAGCCCGTGGCGGTTCTCCTGCCCAGCCAAGTGTTCTCGGGAGGACAGATGCCGAGCCACCTGATTCCGGTCTATACCAACCCGACTGTCCTGACGGGGGCGAGCTACGTCCCTCCAGCCGGACTGTTACCCCAGGGCGGGCCCGTACAGCCGTCGGGACAGGAGCCGGCCGTGTCGAACATTCCTCCGGCGATGAACATTATGGGTTTACCGACCAGCGCCGCGCCGGTACCGGCCCAGGGTCTGGCCGTCCCCCTGTCCATAGCGTCCGCGTCACAGGCACTGCCGGCTAACGCCAGACCAGCCAACCAACAACCGCCCTCCGTCCAACCTCCGGAACCTGAGAAAATGTGGAGGCCTTGGTGACGAATTATATGACATTTTGAGCGTTGACATATCCTTAATTTTTTTTCCTTTTTGACTGAATCAAATTGTAAAGTTGTATAGAGTGTAAATACAGGAGAAATATGTGTCTTGTTGTGCACCATGTGATCGTAAATGTTGTGTATTTGAACCAGTGCCCGACGAAACTAAGTACTGGAGAAATATGTTATTTTTTGTACCGTTTAATCATGAATTATGATGTGTATTTGAACAAGTGTGTGCTGCAATTCTCGTTGCCTTGACGAGCGAATAAATGTTATCAAACAATGTATAACTTCTCATTGTCCTTTACTCAATGGTCTATTTAGGCGAACGACGAACGGTAGAATATTCTTAAGTACACACATTTACATCATAAAAACTCTACTCATATCTAGCTTTTGCACACGTATAGAGTTCAGCCGTGTCCATAATAGAAAATTGTTGCTTGTTTTGTACCGTAGGCCGGTTCTAGCTAGTTATTGGTGGTGACAAAAAAGTAATGGACACCTCGCATGGGTTGTTTTGGAGGTATTTTAAGCGCTTTAGCATGGAATGACGACAAAAATGGCGGTAAATGTCAATATCAGACAGATATCTATATCCAGATTTTTTTCTTAGCCTTTGTCGACCTAAAATTGCAATGATCGTGAATGTCTTTAATGCATTGATAAACTATGGGGAAAATGTTCTTAAAGACCACCAAAATGTTAGTTACACCACAATGGCCAGGTGGTCCGTATGTAGAGGTGGTCACCTGGATGCATATCAGTGGTCAGTTGGTAATCTCCAAGCAGATCCTAGGGTGGCATAAAACTAGCCTCTAACAGGCTTCGGGTGCGGCAAAATGTTCTCACCCAGCAGACCAACTCCCTCGGCATGTTATCTCTCTATATGCCCGATTTACACTCTTTCCAGCCGCCACCTGAAGCCTGGTAGAGGCTAGTATAAGACAGTATCAAATTGGCCAGAGAGGGCCCGATACGCCACCCTGCTTGGAGATTAGTCAGTTGGTCCCTACATAATACAGAGTTCCTCACTATTTAGTACAGGTTTGACTGTAGCCTATTTCCTGTATATTGACGTAGTTTAAGGCAGGGTCACGGAAGTAAATAATGTCCAAGTGACGCCCATAAGAAATGCGGGGCGTACCTAACATCACAACAGCCCGTCATTGCACCACAACACACCTAGTCTGGCCATAGAATTTATTGCAGGCTGAAAAGAGTCAATATTTAGCGTTTCGAACGTCTGACGTACGCGTTACCATAGTAACGGGGTGGGAACAAGTAACTTTTGTGTTCCTTCCGCTCAGTAAGGGGTAAATAACTTAGCCTCGATCAGGCTTCGGGAGGTGGCTGGACAGAGTGGAAATTGTACTCTCCAAGCAGAGGTTGATGGGGGAAGATCGTTACCTTTTATATTTGGTCCGTTTTTTTAAGAGTACAGTTTGCTGATAACTTTAATCTATAGCGGACCAACTCCCCTGGTATGTTATCTGTCTATTTGGCCAATTTCTACTCTATTCAACATCTTCCTGAAAATAATCTTAGCATTGACAGTCCCTGCAAGTACGACAGTGCCTATCAAACCTCCAAGCAAATGTTTGGGGTGAAAGATCGCATTGTTTTTTGACGGTCGGGCTTCGCTGTAGTCTCCTTAACAAAACAGGAAGTTCCGCTGCAGTACCATAACAAGCTGCTAGGGGGCCGACATCTAATAATCGCTAGGTCTCATCAATACCTACCAACCTACCAAGTTCCATGACAATCTATAAATAGCTTCTTGAGTTATCTTGCTAATCCATATACATACACACACACACACACACACACACACACACACACACACACACACACACACACACACACACACACACACACACACACACACACACACACACACACACACACACACATACATGTATACACACACATACAAACGCTGTGGAAAACATAACCCATTACCTGTCAAAGGTAATTATTTGTGTTTGCTAATAATAAAGGCCTGTATTGTAAGACACAGAGAGAACACTGGGTTTCTATTTTTAGCGGACTCCCCTTTTTTCTACTCTTCATTTCGTTACGTTTCTGTTTAACAAGTGAAGTTTCTTTGTGACGCGATAATTCGACCTTGTCACCTTATTTAGAACACAACTCGTTTTGCCTTGGTCTCAATTAGATTTACTCAAACTAATTTCTCATGTCTGGCTCGCGCGTTCCTGTTTTAGAACTTCGAAATTAACGGTTACTTTACCTTTCCTTTCGTTTACTCTAACGAAACTAACAGTAATTGATTTAAAGCAACAACATGCAACACAAGGACAAGGACAATACAACACCTCGACTTTTCTATTAGCTAGTAATTTCTTTACAAAGTAAGCTGAATGAATCCCACCCCGTTTACATGGTGCCATTTAGGAATGAATGTGCGAAATTTGGACACTTGTCAACATCTTTGTTTACACGCTTGCAGTGTGTAGTTTGTGATTGTGTCACAAAAATCAGTGCGACTCGTGTAGACTGTTTTTGTGCAAACCAGGAAAATCAAAATGGTAGATAACGGCACAAATGTGGAAGCTGGTGTGTTGCGCCGAATGACGGTTATATCTACATGTAGCCTGTATCAGGCTTCGGAAGGCGACTGGAAAGAGTAGAAATCAGCCAAATAGAGAAATAACGTGCCAGGGGAGTTGTTCCGCTAGAGAGTACAGTTTGCCGGACCAACTCCCCTGACATGTTATCTCTCTATTTGGCCGCTTTCTACTCTTTCCAGTCGCCTTCCGAAGCCTGGTAGAGGATAGCTAGGTTATGCCGATACAGTTACAGATGTGTTGCCTCGAGCATGTCAAATTTTAATATAAAAATGATATATAATGCTGCTTTAAGGTTTGAACCATTCACACACACCGGTAAAGACCCCTGTTCTTCTCGTTAAGTGTGGTGGGTTCTTTAACGTAACTCTCCTCACACACGCCATTACGTCCTAGACAAGAGACGTCCTTAACTGAATATAGGTACTTCAGACAAGTGAAGAAGTAGTTGCAAATTGCCTTTCGCTTGATCAAACTCGGACAAATTTCTCCTCCACAATATTACAGGAAAAGCTTACGAAGTTAATGAATGAATGAATGAATGAATGACATTTTCTGTACGTTTATTTATGCTCTTACAAGTTATGCCTGTCAGATATCAGTATGCTATGGGATAGTATTGATTCAACCAAGGTATTGATTTAACTTTAATTTACTACATTAAATAATAAGCAGAAAATTGACTTTGAGAAACCAGTTTTAATGTTCTGAAATCACTTTGTGTGCCTTTAGGACACCCAAATCTAGCGCAGTATGTATATGTAAATACATTAAAGGATGTTTAAATCTTAGAGACTACATGTTAGAGAATAGTTAAACCTTGCCGCTGACATATATTCTGTACGCAGTCTGACGCATACATATATTCTGTAAATGTACGAAGGGTGACTTTATCCATACATGTATTTAGCTTTGTTAGATCTTTAGTTGTAGAAGACCATACAAAAGTCCCTGTACTTTATTGTTGTCTCAATAAAGAATCTCGTATAATAATATTTATGTGCAGAATTGCCGCCCCCCTCCCCACTCTGACCCTCCTTTGACTCATCTCAAATGTGAAGGTGAACAAATGACATCATTGTCACTCTTCAGCTGTCCATGTTTGGCAAAGCCCCAACATTTCTGACCTTTCCTTGGCTGAAATGGCGAGTTTTGGCGGGACCAAACATGGCGCTAAGAACGGCATTCTGATAGTTCGTTTAAGGATACGAAGTCACTAATTTCTCCGCGAAGAGTTTACAAAAAAAAAAAAAAAAACGACGTGTGAAATATTCCTTTATTAAATTAGCAGGTTAGTCAGCTTAAAATTGTGACAAGGCGGTTATCAATTTGTAATGGATAGGCCAGGGGGCTGCCAGCATCCGTACATGGCCCATACCAAGTTACTTATACATGGAGGGTATGTTGATTTACAAAGTGGGAAACTAAAGAAATAAAAGGCGTGTGTATATATATATACATACATACATTACAAAAAGTTTTCAACTGACACCACGTCCTTGACTAAAATGGCCACGTGCATACCTAAACGAACGAAAGTATTATTAGTATATCTTCTCTCTTAGTTGATTACACTAATAACTGTTATCTCCCGATGACTTCAATGAGAAACATTTATGAACTTTTAGTGGATTTTATGACGACGTTTACTTCAAGAAAATTTTGGTAATTCCGCCCCAGGGTGCAATTTTCTCCTCGCATGGTCACGTAAAGTCTCGCGTTGTTTGGCGGTGACTTAGCTGAGTGAGCACAGACAACTGTTAGTGGAGGGCGCGCCTCGCGTTTAGGGCAGGGTTCATCGGAATGTATTTATCTTGTTAAATATCTCCCAGCCTTCTGGCGTTCCTTTGTCCCCGTGATTTGCGGCGAAACATTAACTTCGTGGTTCCCACGAGCGGAGACAAAGGCGGCCGGCGCTGCCGAATGCTTCAGTAATTATCCGGGGGCAGGAGGTCGTGAGAACGCGGGGACTCGTGGCGCGGCCGGCGGAGATACAGGCTGGCTGCGGGCGCGCGGGTATTGTTGTGCACACGGGGACGGACGTGCAGGACGTGTCCCGACAGACGGGCGACGTGAGGCGGACGTCAGAGATGCGACCACGCGCGGCGGACGCACACTTGTGCGCGCGTGGCGATCGGGAGGGCTGTGTCTCTAAAGCATGCAAAACGTCTGCTGTAGACTCAATAGCTAGCCTCTACCAGGCATCGGGAGGCGACTGGAAAGAGTAGAAATTGGCCAAATATAGAGATAACATAGAGATAATATAGAGATACCAGACAGTACAGTTTGCCGCAAAATGTACTCTCTACCGGACCAACTCCTCTGGCATCTTTAATTAAATATTCTCTCTATTTGGCCAATTTCTACTCAGCCGCCTTCCGAAGCCTGGTAGAGGCCTAACACAGAGAAACATGCAAAACGAGTCCTACGTCTGCTTGGAGACAAACTAGCCTCCACAGCAGGCTTTTAGGCTTCTAACAACGATTTTATACCGCAGACAGCCATTAGCTGGCCAATAATAATAACGTTTATTGTACATTCATGCCCTATCGGGCTAAGTACAGGCGAACAGATGAAAGAGTAATTTTATATTAAAACATGCGCGGTATGGCATGTGTAATTAGAAAACTAGAGGACATGTCAAACATGCTGGCGGGGAGCATTAAGGAAACTTAAGAGAACTTAAGGGTACATTAAGG